CAGAGACCCAGAGAGAGAGGAGACAGAGACGCAGAGAGAGAGGAGACAGAGACGCAGAGAGGGCCTGGAGGGTGGGTGGACCAGAAAGGGTTTCACTGAGGCTGATGACCACTATTCCTCTCCTCAGTCCCTTGGATCTCTCTCCGTGGTGATGATACGGGGTCCCTGCTCCCCACACCTGGCCTGCCTCCGGAGACTGACTCTCAGGATACAAATGGGTTTCCAGATACAGCCTGACTGTGCCACCCTGGCTGCCACCATCTCATGTCTACGGGACCCTTTTATGCTGTGAGACCTCGGGATGGAAGCCTGGCATCTCTGAGCCTTCAGAAGGAGTCGGGCCCAAATGGACTCCCTCTGGACTCCTCTGCCTGTGGCCTGCCTCGGTTTCCCCTCCTGGTATATATAGCTCTTTTCCACTTCCACATATAAGAATAATTTTGGGTCCTAAATGATCGATCGTGTCCTCATTTCAAATTTTCCCGAGGGCGGAACGGGAGGAGTCAGTGGCAGGCCTCGCCTTCAAATCTCGCCCGACGCCATGTATGTGGTTACCTGGGACCCTGACAATGGACATGTCGATACCAGGTCACAACACTGATTCGTTATTTCCACAAACTGAGTGCCTACATTGTGCTAGGCATCGTGAGGAGTTCTTGGGATTCGTTTGAGAAGTTCTTGCAGCTGGAGAACTGTTCCCTCTTGGAAGAAAGCGTTGGCCGCCTTTGGTTCCCCCGTCGGTCTTAGCCCAGCATGAGCAAAAATAAAAATACATTTCCCATGAGCGCTCGCGGCCAGAACCACTGGAGGTAGTCGGACTCGGCGCGCCAAGCCTGCCGGGAGTTGTAGTTAAGATTAGCCGCGTCAATCGCCCTGGGAAGGGACGGGGCCGGGTCTGGGGCTGCGCTTTCCTTTGTGGACGTGGCGAAGGTCCCCGGCGGTACCCCGCCCGGCGCTCACCGGCCCCGCCCCCTGGGGCCCTCGCGCGAGTTCATTGGGGAGAGGGCGGGGCCTCAGTGCCGCCGGGGGCGGGGCCAGACTGGAGCGGGGCCAGGCTGGGCATCTTTTGGAAAACCGCTTGCAAAGTGGAGAGCGAAGCCAGGTGCCAGTAAGAGGGTAAAGGGGTGCAGGGGGTCCCCAGGGAGGGCGGCATAGGGTGCCTCGTCTAGGTTGGGGACGACTCCCGGGAGATGGCCTGAGCCCTCGCTGCCATAACCTCCCTCTCCTTGCATGGGACTTGAGCCACGTCTTACCCTGGCGCCCCCTAACTTGTGGATTTGGGACCCCTATGGACTCCCTCAAAAGATGGGATCCCTTGGATGGTTTTTCCCTCTGAGCCCCCGCTCTTTTCTTTTCCATCCCCAAACCTTCTTGAGGCGAAAACTTCAAAGCCCGCCTTGTCCTCTCCTACCCGCCACCCACCCCAC